ATTTAGCTAATTTCCTTAGGAACTGAAGTCTCCAGGCCTATCCCTTTCAAATTAGTAGAGTGAGTCTGATACAATTACAAACCAAGATGAAGTAACCACGACAACCTTTATAACCACAGAAGGAAAACAGCCTGTCCACAAAGACATGCAGGAAACAACATATTATTTAATAATTGTACCAACACAATTACTCTGAGAATACATCATGACACCTGGAAAGTGGACTGTATTTAAAAAATATAATCTCCTTAGGAAATACTTTACTACTATCTGTAAAGAACGAACACTGTAAGAAACCTCCTAAAAGCATTTAAAGGAAAGTTATTACGTTGGATTTTTTTTAAAATATATAATTTTTAAAAATATACAATTCGTTTCCACTCATGAATAAAAGGACAAATATTTTCTTCTAATTTCAACACTTAAAAAATATTATTTCCGGGGTGCCTGGGTGGCTCAGTGGGTTAAAGCCTCTGCCTTCGGCTCAAGTCATGATCCCAGAGTCCTGGGATCGAGCCCTGCATCGGGCTCTCTGCTCAGCAGGGAGCCTGCTTCCTCCTCTCTATCTGCTTGCCTCTCTGCCTACCTGTGATCTCTGTCTGTCAGATAAATAAATAAAATCTTAAAAAAAAAAAAAAATTACTTCCATTAAAAGAGATAAGCTATTAGAACATATGTCCCAAAGTTCTATAAGCAAAGGTGTTAGATCACTAGGAAGATAAAACATACATTTGTTGAATGCTTACTTACTAATTTACTTAACATCGTCTTTCCTTGCCTGGGGAGTCCCAGAAATGGACATTATCACATTTATTTTACACACACTATTAGTAAATCAAGGCCTAGAGATGGTAAATAATTTGTACAACTTGGTAAGACAGTAAATGGAAGAGCTGTGATTTGAGCCTAAATGTGAATCCAAAATCAGAATCAGTGTTCTATTATACTATATTGCCCCAAAACTTATTTGAACATGTACTTTAGTAAAGGGGATGGACCACCACAAAATATAAAAGGGACGTGGGAAAGCCAGACTACATTCAGTTTCTGACCAGTTAAGGTTGATGGGAACATTATTCTAGAAGAGGTATGATGGGAAAGTTAGTAAACTAAATAATTCATGAGATCAACTCTTTTTTTATCTATAGAAAACGATCAGTCAGTTAGCTCTTCTTTTCAAATAGCTCTTAAAATTACTCTCATGAAGAAAGTTTCAGTGTTCTGATTTTAACATTCTACTTTACCCTCACTCCCACTGATAATTCTGTCTCTGAGATTAAGAAAATGTTAAGTAAATTCTTACAGCATTCCCACAAATTCTTAGTCTCAGAAGAAAATAAAGAGAAGAAAATATATTAAAATGTTGTAATGGTCTTAACCTCATTTTTATAGACCTGCCAAATGAGCTAGTTTTAAACTACCAGGCAAGGACAAATCGGGATGGCCACATGGTGGCATGGCGGGCATTTAACTTGTCATGTAATTGTAGGGCTACTTTTCTAGTTTAATGTTCTAGTGTGGTCACTGAAGTAAATTCATCCAGCAATCCTGAAACTAAATTCTACCTCCCACTACTCACTCCCTACTACTATAAGTTCTTAATCTTGTTAGTAGAAATTCAACTTAAAAAAAAACAAACTTTGTTTTGGAATATTTCATGAGGATATTAAATTTACCCACTATGCTCAGAGTGCAAACACTGTGAACAGAGCAAAATCTTCTCTAACTCAACAGTTACATCTGTTCCAATCATTCTTAGAACATCAGTTATTTCAGTGGCTCAAAAAGATCCAAATGCCAGGTTGCATTGGGACTACTTTTTGTGGTGGGTTAAATTACCCAAGGGGAAAGAAAGAAAACGCAATTCCTGTGCCTTCAGTATCCGGAGCCAAGAAGCTACTCGTGGGGGATGAGGACAGGATACAGAAATTCTACCTTAACACTGAAATCCTAGCTAACATGATCACCAAATCAACAAGGGAAAAAGCATTAGTCATAAACATATAGATCCCAGAATTACTAGTTAATTTCCTGAAGGTTAAATCCTGGTCAATCACAATGAGCTGGGCTCCTTTACTGCAGATTAGCAAATGAAACAATACATCCTCAAGTAGAATCTAAAAATATAAAGAGTAACTTGATTCAGAGCAGCAGGGTCTAGGATAACATTTCTAAGCAGTAACTTTAGTTCCAAACCTTTTCCCTACTACTTTATTTTCCCTTCCAAATTTTTATTTAAATTCTAGTTAGTTAACATATAGTGGAATAATATTGGTTTTGGGAGAATTCAGTGATTCATCACTTACATTAACACCCAGTGCTCATCATAACAACTGCCCTCCTTAATACCCATCACCCATTTAGCCCACCCCCCACCCACCTCCCTCCATCAACTGTATTTATTCTCTATTGTTAAGAGTCTCTTATGGGGAGTCTCTTATGGTTTGCTTCCCTCTCTCTTTTTCCCCCTTCCCAAATATTCATGTTTTGTTTCCTAAATTCCACATATGAGTGAAATATGAGTGAAATCTTTCTCTGACTTTTTTGCTTAGCATAATTACACTCTAGCTCCATCTATGTCACTGCAAACGACAAGATTTCATTCTTTTTGATGGCTGAGTAATAATATACCATTGTGTACACACACACACACACACACACACACACACCCATCTTAATCCATTCGTCAGTTGATGGACATTTGGACTCTTTCCATAGTCTGGCTATTGTCGATAATGCTGCTATAAACACTGGAGTGAACATACCCCTTCCCTACCACTTATGGCTAGTTGCTTTCCCATCAGCTATCAATGACCGCCACCACTGGATTGCACACATGGCCATTAGTTAGGCAACAAATGTGAACAAAAATCCATGCAAATAACAAGATTACCATTACACAACTAATGTAGGCAACCCTGAGGCATCAGCTTAACAGGAGCAAAGCTCATCATCAAAAATGGAGACCATGTCTACCAACAGAAGATTCTGAAAGTATAAAGATTAACACAGTTAAAAAGTAGCTTCCCAATCATTTTTATCTAAAAAATTTAAACAGAATCTTGAGGACTATTTTCAAGAGAGCTTTGCACTACATAAAACAAAGCCAAAATGACTCCTAAAATGTAATGATTCACACATGCACATTTCTGAAGTTGTCAGTTTTATGTAAGCAATTAAAACTTTCCTATACTAAGATTAAGTGGGGAAAAAAAAAACATAAAACTAGACCTTTGGATTATCTAAGTCTCTAGAACTACATTGTCCAATATGGTTGCCACAAGCTCTGTTTAACTATTTGAATTTCAATTAATAAAAAATAAAAATTCAGTTCCTCAGTCACACCAGCCACAATTCAAATGCTCAAAAGCCACATGTGTCTGGTATAGTGGCTAAATATTGGAGTAGAGACCCAGAACATTTGCATCAACACAGAAAGTTCTACTGGAGAGCAGTACTTTAAGAAATCTGTGGCAAAAATGGCAAAGAACATGATACCTACACAACCAAAATTGTTCTGTATCTGTTCTGTGATGGTAGTTCATACACAACTGTCACAAGTATGGAAGTGTACATTTTATTTATTTTTTTTTAAAGATTTTATTTATTTGACAGGCAGAGATCACAAGCAGGCAGAAAGGCAGGCAGATAGAGAGAGAGGAGGAAGCAGGCTCCCTGCTGAGCAGAGAGCCCAGGCGGGGCTCGATCCCAGGACCCTGGGATCATGACTTGAGCTGAAAGCAGAGGCTTTAACCCACTGAGCCACCCGGGTGCCCCTGTAAGTGTACATTTTAAATGGATAAGGTAACATTAAGTAAATTATTCCTCAATAAAGTTGATAAGGAAAAGGAACAGACATACAACCACTGGTGTATTCCAAAGGAAAAACAAAATATACTTTGGGCATGTAGAGGAAGTTCCAAAGTCCTGACAACTTCCTTTTGCAGTCCTTCAGTTGAGACCCTGGTTATCAGGCTGGCGATCCAAGCCAGAGTGGGGGACAGATGACTAGAGCAAAGAGAAGAGTGCGCATCTGTTTATGGTAAGAGGTGTGAGGGGCAGGAGATCCAAGATACTATGGAAAGTAAGTGACAATGTAAGAGGCCTCCAAAAATGTACCTATACCCTAACCTCATACATCAAATACATTATTAAAATTGTACCGTTCCCTGAGGGGCCACAGAAGATATAAAGTAATTCATAAGAAGTTCTAAGGTGTATAGCCTCACATAGGTATCTTCCAAATGATTAAAGATATTGGTAAAATGAAAAACCACCCAAAACATTTCAAGATTTACACATGAAAATCAGAAGAGCCAGATATTACCAAACCCAACTCCACAATATCCTTCAGCTGGTAACAGTCAAAAAAAGTTCTAACCACAGATCACAGCTGATCACTAACACCAACTCCAACTCCTCCTGCCTCTGACAGGAGGCTACCACCAGTCACTCTCTAGGCATGACTAGTTCTCAAAAGGCAGACGAAATACTGAAAGGGGGAAAAAAAAACACGTTCCCCAGAGTAATTCAGTCAAGAAAAAGGGTTCTCAAATGTGTTCAATTAACACCTGGTGGTCAAAGCATACCTTGATTCATTAGTACAGCAACATTTAAATAATTTTTGTTACATTACATATTGTTTTATATTTTATTCAAACATTTCTATTATTATTAGTAGTTGTCAACAGTTTATTAAATGAGGAAAAACGCTCAACAGAGAAGAAACGTTTAAGAATATTACAGTGTAATGGCTTATAGTATTTTATACCATTAAAATGATGACTATGAACAATGCCAACACGGAAAAACAGAGTCAAAGGAAAAAGCAAAGTACTCTATCGATAGTATGTAAACATAAAGGACTAAAAGAAAATATGAACAAATGAAAACCGCTTGATTTTTAGACTGTGCACTTGTTCTTTAATGCAGATTTCATTACTGTTGTGCCATACAAAATAAAAATTTTAAATATTTATAAATACAGATAGCGTACTTACCACAGTGGGATTGCCACTACTTATCAACTGACTGACTTCATGAAAAATGCTTTTGCAGTCAATTGATTTATCTAAGGATCCTCGTTTTACAATTACTGCTACTGCTAATAGAATCTGTTCCCGAACATACTTTTGGAGGCTGTAAAACATAAAAATCATTGTGAAAAATCTTTACGTGAATCTACTATAAAAATACTCCCAAATTTCTCACTATGTCTGAAGCTACTAATAGCACTGCTTATATATGAGGGTAGTATAGCCTACTGGTTATGCACGGTGTCCAAAGCCGTAAGGTCTGGATTTGAATTTGCACTCATTATTTTACGGGCTATGTGACCCTGAGCAAGACAGCTTCAGAGCCTCAAGCTTTCTCATCTGTTCAAAGGGGATAAACAGAACAGGGTTGTCACTAGGATTAAATGTTCTTAAAACTATGTCCAGTGCATACTAAGTGCTAGATAAGTGTTAGCTGCTTTAGGCAGTGTTCAATAGATGCGAGTTAGTTCACTAAGAGCCAGCTTGTGATTCTGTCAATTAAAAGAAATTCTGATCTATATCCATCTCCAACCAGTAGTATAATCTTAAATTCATTCCCTATAATATGAAAAGGCAACATGCTAGCTGCTCATGATATATTATGGACACATACAAATTTTTTTAAAACTTTTTAAAACTTTTACAAATTTTTTAAAAACTTTTTAAAATCTAAACTGTGCTCCTCAGTGTGATGGCAGAAGCACTGACTGATCCCAAGTGGGGGCATTCTACAAAGTCTATTAGACCACAAGGAAACAGAGAACTTTTTGCAATCTCTTCTTAAAGGTAAGGTTCAGAAAACTAACTCTCAACTTTGTAATCCAGACTCTAGGATGCCACAGGATACGACAACCATGTGCCCTTGGGATAAACTCCAAATTCCTTAACATGGCTTACAAGCAGTGGGATCCTGCCCAGCTTTCTTTGGACACTCCCAATTTACCTGTTGTCTCACATCATTACTTACAAATAGTGTTTTCTTTAACCCTGGAAAGTGTCCCGATTGGGGCCCTTCATGGTCAGGTATCTGCTGCCCTCTCAAATCTCCCCCCACCCACACACACTCCAAACTGTAGAAATACTGAGCTTCTTTCAGTTCCTGGCACAATGCACATGCACTTCCTGGCCTCTAAATGTTGATGTCCTCTGCCAAGACTGTGATGCCACTTTCTCTAAAAACATTCCCTGAACATGGTGGGCCATTACTAAGGAGGGCTCCCCCAACACATGATGGGCATTTACAAACAAACATGTCTCCCTGTCAAGACTGAAGTGAAAAGCATTCCTTCAAAATACAGACTTGAAGCATTCATTAAACAAATAAATGCAGAGATCCTACTATGTGGAAGAATATGAATTGATCAAAGTGAATTTCTGTACTTTTGGAGCAACACAATAATTTCAAATACACTGATTACTCCTAGGAAATGTACATAAAGCTGATTTTATTTATTTGGGGGGGGGGTGCATGTGTGTGTGCATAATTGCAGAGGGATAGAGGGAAAGAATCTCCAAGCGGACTCCCTATTGAGCAGGGACCTTGATGCAGGGCTTGATCCCTCAACCCTGAGATCATGAGTTGAGTCAAAACCAAAAGTCGGATGCTCAACATCTGAGCAATCCAGGAGCCCCCATAAAGCTAGTTTTAAGGAAGTCCATTGGCAAAAATTGTAAGTTAATAGGAAAATAAATAATAATGGTTAACATTTGTTGATCCTTACAATATGCAAGGCTTCCTATAAACCACCTTCACAAAAATACATACATTTAATCCTCGCAACTATCTTTTGAGTAAAAAAGTATTAACTCTAATAGTTAATTAAACAACAATTAAAAAAACTAATGCACAAAGAGGGTAATCTGCCAGTGCACAGAGAGTGGCAGAAGTGGAAATCAGTCCCTTTCTGAACCACTCTGCTATACTGTCAAGTGTATCTTCCATTTTACTCTATGCAAATGTTATCCCAATTAGGAGGAAAAAAACAGAAAAAACTCTGTGCACCAAATGAGAAGTATGTAACATTATGAACACAATATTCATAGTATTCTACTTATGCAGTATACCAATGGTTTTCATTTGACTTGAGTCCATACTGTAGGAAAATCTACGAGACAAAAATGGCTGTGTCACGAGAAACAAAAGAAGGGTAGCATTATTCCAGATTAAAAGAGACTGAAAAGACATGACAACTAAATACATATAATCTGTGGTTAAATTCTGGATCAAACAAGTAACATAAAGGAAGAAAGGATATCAATAACATAATTCAGACAACTGGGGAAATGAAAATGTAGAATCAGAATTACATTAGATTAATACAGATATGTAAATTATATCAAGAGTATTGAGATTATGCTCTCAGGAGAGATGCTCAAATATTTAAAGATGAAGTATCACGATTTCTGTGGCATACTTTCAGGTGGTTTGGGGGGGGAAATGCACATATATTAAGAGAAATCAAATGTGACAAAATGTTAACTGAATCCCCACTAGGAAGAGTATGTGTGTGTTTACAGTACTCTTCTTACAATTTTGCTAAGAGTTTTGTTTTTAAACAGTTTGGGAGAAAATATATAAGTGAACCATTTCAACGTAGAACCCTACAATCAGCTCCAAAATAGCTTCTGAACTAATGAAAATTATTTAAGAATGAGATTATTTGGGGGCCGCCTGGGTGGCTCAGTCAGTTGAGTGTCTGCCTTCAGCTCAGGTCATGATCTCAGGGTTCTGGGATCAGGCCCTCCAACAAGCTCTCAGCGGGCTTCAGCGGGCAGTCTGCTTCTCCCTCTCCCTCTGTGCTTGTTCTCTCTCTCACCCTCTCTAATAAATAAATAAATAAATTCCTTTAAAAAAAAAATAAGAATGAGACTATTCTTGGATAATACAAGAGATCACATGTGAGCACATGTATACACACACACACTCTCTCTCTCTCTTTCTCTCTAAGTCTACTACACATTAAAGTTTTACAAACTCTCCAGATTTCAGTGGTTCCCAAGTGGGGAGGGTGGGATCAATGAGCAGCCCCAGGGCAAGACAATATCATATCACACCCAAATGGCCTCATCATATCACACAAATTAAAATTTAAATAAAGAAAACCAGTGTGAAGAAGAAGAGAAAGGTTTGAAAACTGGTCAATTTTTCCTTATGCTATTAAAACTGGGAAAAACAAGCCAAACTCTCCCTTTACACACATCTATATCCACTCATCTATAGAAAACATTACCCATTACACCTGTAATGTTTATAAGCTAAGTAAATCTTGCCTTTTTTCTCTCATGCATTCTTGCATATGTAAAGCAACCAGCATTTAACTGTGTGCTAAATTTGTGCCAGTAATTATTATTAAATATTATGAATTCAGAGACTGCTAGAAAATAATCAGTAGGAACAAATGTATGTTCTACTTTTAAAGCTTTATGTATGTTTAATGCCACTAATCGAAATTCCTAATTACCAACATTTCTGATTACGTAACACTTTCCTCGAATTCAATTGTTCAATTACGCAAATCGCATACATACAATGTGCACTGCCTCTTCTCAAAAGACAACTTGGTGTTTGGGGGACTTAAAAAAAAAGGTAAGTAGTAAATGAATTCTTTTTTCTTCTTCTTTTTTTTTTTTAAGTAGGCTCCATGCCCAGCATGGAGCCCAATGCGGGCCTTGAACTCATGACCTTGAGATCAAAACCTGAACTGCAATCAAGTCGGATGCTTAACCTAACAGCCCACCCAGGCACCCTGGTAAATGAATTTCTCCCCCAAATAGTGTGACTGACAATTTTCATCATATTAAAAAAATCATATAGGCAATGAATGTACAAATCTTATAAAATATTCAAATGACAGAATGTGTATGACACAAAAAGAAAACTTACTTTTACCCCATTTCTTAAAACTGATCCATTTTCCCAAAAGAAACTATTGAAATTTGATGCTTTCTCTTCTACAGCCTTATTAACGTGCATTTCTATGTACATATATACATAACACAGATGGTTCCCTCTTCACCCGTCTTAGGATACTCACCTATGTCTTATAATACTTACCAAGTACCAAAAGAACAAGTAAGTACAAAGTATTTTCATTTGAGTCCAAGATCAACTTTTATTTATAATCAAAATCTTTGGAACTAAACCAACACCTAAAAAAACGTAACACCCAGGGCACCTGGGTAGCTCAGTCGTTAAGGTTCTGTCTTCGGCTCAGGTCATGAGCCTGGGATTGGGCCCCACATCGGGATCCCTGCTCAGCAGGAAGCCTGCTGCTTCTCCCTCTCCCACTTCCCCTGCTTGTGTTCCCTCTCTTGCTGTGTCTCTCTGTCAAATGAATAAATAAATTCTTAAAAAAAAAAAAAATCCCTAACATCCAGCATCATCTTTTCAAAGAAACAAAACCTAGTACTGTAAGCGTAAAGAAAAAGTAGTATTTCATTAAGTACCAAAAACAACTCACAACCATGTGAGTTTTAAAATATGAGTTCCAAGCAGAGCTTAACTATAAACATCTATCATTAAAAAAAGAGAGAGAGAGAGAAGCACAGTAGAAGTATTTTAGCAGTACCTCCACCACATACTTACTTAGGCCTTTGTAAGACATATGTTAAAAGGAATGTTCGCAGTGACTCGATGCTACCTTTTTCCAAGAGAATCCACTCTCGGACAACTGCTTCCATTATGGCTGTGGCAGCTTGAAAGAGGACATAGTCCACTTTACTTGTTTCTGAGGAGAAAATTAGAAACTTTCTTTAAACAGCCGTTCATCTTCCTTTGAACATTTTGCATTTATTAATTTAAAAACAGAACTTTTCAGACAAGGAATAAGATGGTTACCTGTTCTTTTTTTAATCCAGTGACCTTGCTCTAGCACCACAAAGAGGTTAGTTCCTCTCAGAAGACACCCCAGGCAGGTGGCAGCTAATCACCGATCACAATTTTCACAAACTTTCCTCACCTCTCTTCAACTGTTACTTCCAAAGCATGAAGAACTAAAAAATAACACAGCTTTAAAAAAAATAAAAATAAAAATATAAAGCAATCAGAAAATTTCCTAAGAGATTCTCACCCTGTGCAAAATAGAGCTTTGTATCTGCAAAATATCTTAAACTAGTCTTTGAACATCACTATTTGTGATGAGCCATGCTGTTAAAATATTTGTTAAGTGATTGAGCTTTCAGCAGGATGGCCCATCTCCAATAGCAAGTTCAGAAACAAACACTATCACGTTCAGGTTACTTTTCTCAAAATGTTAAAAAAAAAAAAAAAAAAGAAAAGAAAAGAAAAGAAAAATGAGTCACATTTACACAAGGTGAGAAGTTCTTGTGAATTTTCTGATTGCAATATTGTTCAAACTGAGTAAAATTCCAAAGCTACACTTAGAAAAACCCAGCCTTAACTAGCAAGTTATAGTTTCTGAACTAAAAACTGAATCAGGAGGGAAAGAAAAAATAGAAAATTAACATCCGTAAGAAATATTTTAATCTTCTATTTTTTCTTTCATTCACCAATACCACTACAATCGGGTTTCCAAACAGCATTATCAAAAGGGAGAAACAGTCAAAATGAAGTCAAGAAAAAGTAGAAAATTTTGTGAAGTCCTAAAAAATAACCATCATGTGAAATCCATGAAAAGTCTATGATTAGATTGCAGGTTATTTGCCAAGATCACTAGACATGAGTATCTGAAAGCCATGAGAAATTAACTCTAGGCATAGAATGGCACCTTCAAGAATTTATTAGAAGAGCATGAAGATATAGTCAGGCACATCATTTTCTCTCCTACTCAAGATTACGTCATTTAAAAATCTTGTAAGTGATCTTGACACAATAAGCTATAAAAATGCATGAGAAAAGGTATACCCTACATAAATTCCTATCAATTTAGACTACTACATGTGAGTTTTGAACCTATAAAAACTAATAAGAGGAACCAATTTGGACTTTCTTCTTTTTAAGTTTGATTATTCCATGCTATCTTAACATGAATTCTAATTGAGATGATAATCAGAACTCACAAAAATTTAGAAACCTTAAAAAATTATCAATAAATAAAGCAACAGCTTCCAAAAATGTAAACCTATTATAAAAAGATATTTAAAGTTCCAGGAGTAAAAAACAAACAAATCATGTTTTATTCAAAGAGGATTTGAAACAGAAACTAGCTCTATCTATTTAGATCACTTAAGGAGAAATATGGTACTGCTTCATAAAGGTAAGTTAAGTAGTCTCTTACTATAAACCTCTTCCTGAAATTGAAGGATGATTGATGGCCTAATTTCATTTTCTATTGCAATGGTAAAAATTTTAAGGACAAGAAACCTGAAATCCTTAACTATGAGTTTTAACAAAGAAGCAAAATCTTATGGACTCACAGAATTTTGGAAATACAATTCCAAAGATTATCTAATTCATTTTCTGCATTTTACAGCTAAAGAAAGTGTTGATGAACCAAGAGATTAAGAGAAGAAATTCAATAAGCATGGCTGGTAAATGTTTCTTGAGCGATACTAACCCGCCCCTAAAGGCATATGCCAATGAAGAGAAGACCAAACAAGTACCTTCTTGTTTTCATAAGCAATGAAACATGCTTATTTCTAACTGTTTGTGCTTATACCCAATCCATTTCTCCTGCCTCCTCCTCCTTTTTTGCAAGGGTTGGGGGAGGAAATAACTGCAGAAGGTGAATGACATTCAAAAGTTTCCAAGATAACTCTTAGATACCTCTGTTTGATATTAAATAGGCATAGCTAAATTACTACTCCCATAAGAAGCTGTCTCTAAGAATGGAGGATCTGAAAAAAAGAAAGCCGAATTCCAAATTTAAAAGGAGAAATTTTCCTAACCTAATGAATTATACCTTCTTGTAAAACTTATGATTAGCCTTCATAAACTGTACTTACATGTAATATAAATGTGCAGAAGCTCTATGGAACTCTAGAAGCTACCAGCAGAAGATTAGGACTTCACCTGGACAAACAACCTCTTATTCTTGCTCTCTGCTCTAAAAATGCTTGAAATTGCAAAGTCTTCATGAGGAAATCACAATTTACTTAGAATTTCTGATACTTTTAGGATGACTCTCCACTGACCAGGACACTGTCTAGATAATAAATTATTTTGGGCCACTTCGGCAGGAAGCTCTCACTTCCCACCACAGTAACTTTCTTTAATAATAATTATGTAAATAAAATTAATTTCTATCATGTCAGCCATCTGAAACTACACAGAACCATGAAGACAAAAGTTAAAATAAATAATGAGAGGTGAAATAAATTGAAGTAAATAATGAGAGGCAGAGCACTACATTCTGATCAAAAATATTTTCAGAGGAATACTAAAACCATAATAGTCAAGTCTGAGATATTCAGCTACTATAGACAATTACCTCTGGCCAGATTTCTGTCTAAAGCACAGGCAATAGAAGCTCCAGAGTCTGCTTAATGATACATAGGCACACCAATCAACAATAAGTCCCGGGTTTCACTTTGTTTTGTTTCAACCACTTCTGAGATAAGAAATTAAAGAAATCCATTTCTCTCTGAGGGAAGGATAGAAGAATGCTACAAAGTTAGTCCCAGAAGCATTGAACCAATCTCTGACTGGTTGGAGGTATTTCTTAAAACAAGAACAGAACTTGCAGGATTTGTGAACGCACATTCGACCAGACCAAACTAGCAAAACCTTAAGTGCCAGACTTCTGAAGTCTAAAAGTCTTCTGATAAAATGCACAGGCATGCAACATGAACACGCACATGCGTGTGTGCACACACACACACACAGAGAAGAGTGGAAAAGTAAACCTAGAATAAAAATAAAAGTGTAGAAGAGAAAGAAATGGGGAGAAACAAGCAACATAAAACTTAAGTGGGAAGGAAGAATTTTAAGAGGCCAGAAAAGGGAAGCATCAAAGAGAAAGTCTCCCCTTCATCAGAATATCACCCACTGTATAAAAATGACATATTATCCCTAAATAAGAATGTGAAAATTCTGAATTGCGATTGACTGCCACTTGTATGAGAAGTCTTCTTAGAGGAATTAACCCTTCTGTGCTGGTGGCAACTGAGTAAGGAGTTGAAAGATTTTCTGTGAAGTTTAGATGTAAACATTAATGTAACACAGGGCTTTGCAGTACATTAATGATTAGATTATGCTTATAATACATGCACTCAACCTTTTAAAATAGTTAATGTCTCAAAACCCAAACTGATTTTAAAACCACAGCCAGAACTAGCAATACTATTCTTTAGAAATTTTTATCAGGAAAACAAAAGTATTCTAAAACAAGCTCAAATCATAACAAAGCAATAGTACTTCATAAAATATACATACTCTAAAAAGGAAAGAGTTGTATAAACAAATACACTCTAATAAAATACTTAAAACTTAGATCAACTATTTCCCAACTAGTACAGAATGACAACTGAATTACAATAGAAAGTCAGATGAAAATGATGGAATCCTAATTAATGTAGTTAAGGCATAAGCCATAAAATCCAGACTCAAATTATTTTAGGTGACTAGTTTAATACGATGGCTTTCTAAATCAAATTTCTAAATGCTGGACACGCTCAAGGCAGTAAAGATGAAGCCTCCCTTAAATTCTTAATAGTGATTTTAGTTTTGCTTCTTATAATTTAACATGAAATCAAATATTCTCCATGGGCATGTGGTAACAAATTTTCTTAGTGCCAGAAACAAATTCACCCCAAAGTATAAAAATTGACCATTAAAAAAAAAAAAACAAAAACTGCCTCATTTAGAATTTAAAAGGTGGTTATTAAAACTGTCCCTCTAATGGTAAGATCTAACTCCTGAACGAGACAAAGCCACCTTCACCACCACTGCTAGCTCCTTGCAAAAAGAGAACAGAGCACTTTTTTAAGGTTATCATATTTTTTAAATGCCTCCGAAATCAGGAAATGGGGTCACTTATGTGACTGTTTACAAAGCGGTTTTAAATGTTATTACATTTGTGCCTCATAACAGCTTAAGGCAACCAAGTCCATGAAGGAAAACGGTACCAATATTCTCCTCTTACAGATGAAAAACGGGCTAAATGACTTCCTTAAGTTGATACCATGCAGCAGGCACCACTGGTATCCAGATCTCACCATACCTACAGCAATACTCTTTCTACTCCAATCTGACAACTTATTTATAAGCCCTTTATGTAAAGCATTATTAACATAATTTTAATTATAGGCTATTTCAATCTAGAAACCAGAGTGCTGGTGGCTAACAGATGAGTCTTTCTAAAAGCACAAGAATAAAAGGTCATAAATTTTAGGTCTTAATACACAACTAATCAACTTTGTAGTCAAGGATAACTCAGAGCCTCAAATATGGGTTACAAAAAATAGCTCCAATTAAGAAAAAGAGCCAACAATAATTAAGTTATAAAATAACAATAACCAATGAAATTATCTCTTACTGTTTTTGAAAAACATGTAAGAGGAAGAAAACTGTGTGTATATATTTTAGAAAATGCCATTTTTGGACAAGAGTTTTAACTTTTGTGATTATTTTTAAAGGAAAGAGATCATTTCTGTACATATGTCAGATAAAAGGTACCCGTAAAACATTTTTACAAGAGTAAAAATGCTTCATTTAAAAATATACAGTGATAACCTACATAGAACTGACTAATATTTGCTAAGAAAGCTGAGTATAAGCTACATGGTTAAAAAAATTTTTTCTGAAGAAAAAAAAACTAAAAGAAAAACTGTTGAAACCTCCAAAACAATCATAATTTTAAAACACTAGGATAAGCTATATTATAGTACATTTCCTATGATAAGTGACAGCACGCTTGAACAACTGAAAAACTGTTAGACTTTTCCCCCCACCATTAACAGCCTTCGTGTTATGGTCAATAATAAATTACTGAACAAATTATTGAATAATAAATTACTGAATACTATATTCAGGGGAAGAAAATTCAAAGGAAAAACAAATTTCTCTGTCTGGCTTTATGGGATATCTTTAAAGCCACTTCAATAGAATCATTATTAATGGAAAATTTTAACTATACAAACCTGCTTGCTTTAAAAGGAATTTAAAATTTAAAAACATTCAAGACAGAAAAACGAGATCTGATTCTGCAACAATATTTTTAAAATGAATACTTACCCAAAATATGCTTGCAAACTGCAAATGGTGATTTTGATTTCCTAAATGATAAGAATATGTGCTCTGCATGCTGGCGTTGTTCATTATTAACCATGGAAGGTGGTGCCTTGAGAGTTAAAAAAACAAAAGCAAAACAAAACAAAAAAACAGAGTACACTTGTTTAATAAGAAAGCTTGAACAGCAGCAAACCTTTAACCCACAGAAAGAGAAAATATTTTCACTTGGGGGGGGTTGGTGGTAATGAAAGGACAAATTCCTGCTTATTATTTTAAAGAAACTATAGTATAAAACTTCTTAATAAATATTTAAAATATGGTTTCAGGAAAAAGGAAGAAATTCCTGGCAAAGTTTGGATGAGAACCCTTTAAAGTTGCCTACATTTTAGAAGATAGATACTTACCTAACATTTTCCTTATCTTTTAAACATAGCTAACTTACTGCTTTTTATTCCAAAATATATCACTTCATCAAGTTCAAATAATCTCTAAATTCTTCAGCACTGGTGAAAATGAATCTTAAGTTACTAAAAATTTGTTTTCTAACAGCAATCCTTTAAAATAAAAGTTATTACCAGATAATTCTACCTCAAGTTTTCTAAAATCACCATTAAACCAGAAAAATTAGGGAACAGTGAAGTTGGGATTTATAAAACTCCTATCTGAATAATAAATAAATCAGAAAAAGCCAGAATTCTGGCTTAACAAAAACCACTTGTACAGTCTGTTAGATTTTTAAATTCTATTTTGTTCTAAAATTCCATTTTGTTCTTTCCTCTAAAGATAAATATTCTTTTGAACCTAAAATATATATATTCTCATTATATGGCGTGGTTATCTTTGACTCATCGGGACCCATCTGAAGAGAAGAGATTGCTTAAATAAGTCTACCAATTAAATACCAGAATTCTCAATTTGGGCAGGGAAAGTCAGGGTAGATGGTAGGAAAATAAACCTTTGCTACTGTAACCAATACAAAATGGGGAGATCAAAATTTCAACTATATTCAAATAATCTGGAAGATAAAAAACATTTTGCAACAAAGTATGTTAGATCATTATTATAAACTACAGCAACATTAGTCACTATAATTTTAGTTAAAATAGTGAGCAGAAATGTGTATCTATGAGAAATTAACCAACTTTGATAGTCTGGCCTAAGGGAATTCTTATAATTAGCTAAAACCAGTTCAGATACTATTCCCAATGATAGAGCACCCTCTACAGCTCTCTAATAAAAATGAAAATATTTTCATTAAAGAATTGTGTTAAATTCCTTAATATGTTTTTTGAAAAAAGGCTTTATTAATAAAATACTGTGAAAGCTATGCTAAATATAAATATTTTTGTCCTTCCATTTGCAAATTCTTCATTCTCACCGTCTTTTTAAATTCAACAAGTTTGTGTTTTTGCAAGATATATTTTCATTAATATCTGCTGACTATACCCCAGAAACACAGGCATATTATTAAACATCACTGCAACATGTTATACTGCTATGAATACAAATCAACAACTATGAATTGCCCAGGTAATTCTGATTTAAACATTCATCTCATCACCCTTGAAAAGTAGTACATATACAATTTTGCAAATAATCATGCCAGTTACTCTACAAACAAAAATAGTTCCTAAGGCTAATGACCTTTAGACACTCTAGTAAAGTACAGGTCTCAATATAACTTAACTATTTCATTTATAAAGTATCAGATTTCCTAAGTAGTGAAGTATAATCTAAAAATTGGTTTATCTCAATCACCTGGTTGAACATTATCATACAAACAATAAAATCATCAACTGATTCATTAAATGGCAATATGGTGTTCACTTTAGTTTCCCAAAACCAAAACTTTTAATTCTTTTTGAAAATGACTTGGCAGTGGTTTCCAAATAGCAAGTTATATGCATCGCTGAGTGCTGAAAAGCTTTTTTGTTAAAAACAAAACAAAACAAAACACAAAACAGATTCCCAGCCCCTAAAGATTCAGCAGGTGGGGAGCCTAAACCAAAAATATGCATTTTTCCCTCCAAAGTCCCTACATAGTATGACCTATAGAACCTCCACCTATAAACTTCCTCTTTAGAAATCAGAACTCTCTTGGAACACTGAAAAAAATAAAATTAAATTTAAAAAAAAAAGAAAGAAATCAGAACTCATCCTTCAAATTCTGCTTCAGTCTCTCCTTCATCAGCTTTTTCTGACCTCAACCTAGTCAGCCTGAACACAAATGATGTGTCTCTCTCACCTTGTAGGATACACTACAGGTGTATCTCTGCTACCCAACTTACCATAATGTACTCCAAGTATTTGCTTACCCCTCTTTCCTTTTCTCTGACTTTTCTGACACCAGAAACTTTATTTTACTCATCTCTAAATTCCTAGAGCCTTGCACATACCAAAAGGAGAGGCAACACAAGACTGAGTACTCAGCACTGCAAAGCATTATTTTCAAACAGATGGATGGGAACGTACATATATAATCTCATTAACCCCAATAACAGCCTTATGAGGTACAAACTATCATTATCCCCATTTTACAGATGAGGAAACTGAGGAATGGAGTAATCAATCTGCTCACGATCAGAGGAAACAGAGGTGGAAACTGAACCTAGAGCCCTAACTCTTTAACAGAAACTACACTTAGGTGATTCAGTACCATGTAAGACTTACAGTGTTTAAAGCATGGATATAGAAAGGAAGTAAATTCCCCCTAAAAGTCCTCCTCTAGCACCCAATGCAGGCATTAGAATGTTTTACATAGCTTGTAAACTTTCAGTAAAGAAATAATAATAGTAAAATAAAAGAGTCTTTTTGTATTGTCTATTAATGTTCTTTCATTGTCACTAATAAATAGTAAAAACTTTAAAAAAGCTCACACTTCCAAGGTGTGATCAAATGAATCAGAAGAGCTGAAAGAAATAGTTAGGTGGTAGCAGAGTACAGCAATGGTAAGAGGAAACAGCAGGTGAGCAATTCTGGGTTTCTTCAGGACAACAAAGTCAACATCAGGAAAAAATTGAGAGGTTTTTCTAGGGAGTCACGCTAGCAAGAAACATGAAGGTCACAAATTCCTAACTCAATATACTGGTGTTTCTCACCCAGCCTGCACCATTCCATTAGCCTATCCAGGCCACCGTCAATTTACAAAAAAACCTGAGAAAACACCATTGGTAGCACACAGCCAAGGGCATCTGAAGTTAGAACTCAAAATACACTAATAAATGGATTAAATGACATATTTAATAAGAGGGGTTTGGGGGGAGGGGGTTGGGAAAACCAAAATACCTAAATAATTTCTATTCAAAAAGTATTTACTGAGGCTAACTAAACTTCAAGCACCATGCCAGAAGCTGAGTGTGTAAAAACAGGGAAAATTACCCTTGCCCTTACAGAATTCTGAGTCTTAGAAAAGACAGACATTGATCAAGTAATCCTGCAAGTAATTATGACAGTCTATCACTTCTGCCACTAACTGCATTCTGGTTTCTCTGTCATCATGCTAATCTATCCTCAAAAAATCCCACTTGCTAAATCCTATGAGACCTTCACACTTTTTCTTTCCCTGGGCAGCTACAGTAACTTTTATTCCGGTTAACAACAAAAGTATTAATTATTCCCCATGCAGACTGCTAAGTTACATAACATACGCTCTTATTTAATCACAGCAACATCCCTGTACAAATTATTTCCTCTCTTTTACATATGGAGAAACTTGTATTTGCAGATCATCACATACCCAAGATCAAATATCATAACCAGAATTTCACCTTACGTTTGTGTGATATCAAAGCCCATTATTTGACTCTTTTTTAGTACCAAGGAGGAGACATGGTTGAGACTAATTTCTATCAGATAGCTATTAAAGAAATCTGAGTAATATTCTTGGCTTACTATAAATACCAACACTTATAGAACTGTGTTAAAAAATGGTCAAAGATTGAAAAATCAAGCACAACTTGTAGAAAGGAAACAAGCTACAAAAGTAGAAAACAAAAGTGGAAGTTATGTCATAGAGCTCGTAATAAGAATTTTCTTAGCTCTAATTGTTCTTTTTTTAGAGAGAGAGCATGGCTTAATGTTCAAATTAGAAAATCACAGATGGTGCTCCCTCTGGCAGCACATACACTAAAAAAAAGAAAATCACAGATGTACTACCTAAAAACATGTTTACTGGCAATTTTTCATTCATTCCCTGAAGACTTTAAGTTAAGAATTTGTTCAATTTTTAGTTTTCTATCTATAATCTTTCCTTAAACCTTTGGAACCTACCAATGCTCCTACCTAAATTTAAAACCATAATATATAATGATATTATCATACCAATATTTCACAGTGTTTCACAAAGACTAAATTCCAGATACTGGACCTTTCCAGCTAAACACATTTGAGAGATGTGCCCTAATTAATCTCTTGTGATTTCCTAGCACATTCCCAAAAACTGTCCTTTCAAATCTGTTTTTCTCTTAAACCTCTCATCTCATGATACCCAGTACTGCAATCTCTCAGAAAATGATCTTTTTCTTTCCCAAAGTGAAAGCCTTCCTGTATGATTAGTTCCTTTATGTATCTTCCTTTTCAAAAGGACTGTTCTCCTATCACCTTCTCCAATTTCTAACGAAATATTCCCTCCCCCTCAACTTTCTCTGAAATCTAAATCCTCCTCCCATTCCTGCCCCACTGGCTCCCTGCTCACATATCACCTCAATTCCTCCCTCCTCTCTTCTCTCTTTTTATCTTAAAGTTATGCTAAGCAATGGCACCGTGCTTTCTGCTTACAAACAGGTTTACCCTACCTTAAAAATCCTTTTAAACAATCTTAGAGTCCCCTTTAATTAAAAGAATGGGATACCAGGTTTCTAATCCTATCTCTGTAGCACAGTATTTGGGAAACTTCCAGTCAAGGATCTCTCCAGGCAAGTCATGGTTCCCATCTAATGACGCTGATGAATACATCTTATAATTGGTAAGAGAACTGCAGTTAAAAATACACGTATGAGTCTCCTCAAATTAACCTATAATAATAAATACAATTCCAATTTAAATACCAATGAACCTTATGGTTCATCTCAGAATATGACAAGGTGATCCCAAAACATGTTAAGAAAAAGG